GACATAACCGGGATGAATTTAAGGGCTTTTAACTGGGATCGTAAACAATAAATTAAACCAGGCGCCAAGTGTCAATACAGTACTGTTGGAAAACAATCTGTGGCAGGCAATGCCACTTTTCACCTGAGACATGCTGGACACGCTGCACTGTAAGACATGGCGTCCCACAGAGCCACTTCCCAGGGCTGGGTGTGTTTCTCCCAGCAGGGCCCGAGTCTCAGCGCTGCAGGCTGCGTCTCTGCCAGAAGACAGGCTGGCCAGGCCAGGCCACGAAAGGCCCTCCAGCCAGGGCTGCAGGCAACAGCAGCCTGCTCATGGAAGTCACTCCCCTCCCCTTACATTACCTGTCCCGCAATGCACAGAGGGCGGAGACGAATATCAAACAGGACTGGGCCTTTGAAGTGGGAGAAAACACAAGCATTGTTTTCTTTTCTTTCAGCTGGAGTCCTAAGAGCCTATTTGTCTCCTATAATCATTCATGGGTCCTTCACTGAATAACTGTGCCTTCAAAGGTCTGGAACCTGTCTCTGTTTTACTGTGGCCACAGTACCCTGGCTGCAACTTTTCCAAAAGAAATCCAGACGAGAAGATCAAGTCTCTATGGCGTTTAAAGTAAAAATTAAAGATGTGAATCTAAGTGAAGACATAACATTTATTAGCGGCCATTCTGATATACTTGTTAAAGTGTAAGACAACATGCTTCTTCCTTTGGAATTCAACCCCAAACCACTCATCCTGAATCTTATTTTGTCCAATCCCCAATTATTTCCTACTGGAAACATATGTTACATATGTCAGAGCTCTAGAAAAGACACTTTGAAAAACATAGAGGCATCGGTACCCATGTATGATTGTCCAAAAAGTCATTTACAAGAAGCACATTTATTATTACGTTCTTATAATTATAATTAATAATTGCATACACTTATATAGCGCTTTACAGGTAATGGGGATCCCCTCCACCACCACCACCAGTGTGCAGCCCCACCTGGATGATGAGAAAGCAGCAATAGTGCACCAGAACAGTCACACTCACGTTGGTGGAGAGCAGAGTAATAAAGATGGGGATTATTAGGAGGCCATGATTGGTAAGGGCCACTGGGAAATTTGGCCAGGGCGCCAGGGTTATACCCCTACTTTTTTTGAGAAACGCCCTGGGACTTTTAATGACCACAGGGAGTCTTGGTTTTACATCTCATCTAAAGGACAGCGCCTGTTTACAGTATAGTGTCCCCGTCACTATACTGGGGCATTAGCATTAGGTGAGCGCCCCCTGCTGGCCCTACTAACACCTCTTCCAGCAGCAACCTTAGTTTTTCCCAGGAGGTCTCCCATCCAGGTAATGACCAGGCTCACACCTGCTGGGCTTCAGTTGGTTGCCAGTTGTGAGTTGCAGAGTGATATGGCTGCTGTTCTTCCCATCATATACATATTAAATGAGCTTTGTTTGCTATGCCCATGAATTACAGTCTTGCCAAACCAATAACAATTAGCAAGACATTTACAGATACTTCACAACAAGTTCAGTTGTGTTCAAGCGGCTGATTCTCAGGCTCTGACAGGTGATCACATACAGCGTGTAGTTTGTTAGAGACAGAGTGCAGGGAACAAGGGTGACCCTGTTCCTTTCAGTGTTTTGGCTTCGAGGAGAAATTGGAGGCTTGATTGGCTCTGCACCATTCTCTAAGATGCTAAGGAACGTTTGAGACTTTCGGGGGGGGGGAGGTCATGTGACAAGCAAGTTGTTGCAACGTCCCATAGGTGTGCTTGCAAAGACTGTCTTTCTAGCACAGTGTGAAAAGACAGGACCCCCCACCCCTCCCCCAGGCAGAGAGAAGAAAGCCCCTGTGAAGTGACTGTCATTTCCTTGGAGCTGCTCTGTTATTCCAGTAGCCTTTGTGAGGAAGCCCAGAGCCGTGGCCGCAGACAGGAGATCCGGGCTCTTCACAAGGAGCTGAGGTCATCATCCCAGCAGGGGAGGGAGGCACTCCTGCCAGGCAGACACAGGCACAAAACAAACACAACCCCTGACAGGAAAAGAGCGACAAGCCCCTGCTGGGAAGGGCAGAGGGAGAGGAATAGAGAGGGAAAGAGAAAGATGAAACAGATAGTGGGTGAAGGAGGCTGGCTTTCTCACTCATAACAGAGGGGGCACCTGACGCACCTAACCTGAACTGGACGGCCACACAGCACGGAGCAGAGGTCACCGAGTCAAAAACACACCTTCCTCTCTAATCCCTTGGTTGCTGCCAGCGTGTAGCATTGAGACCATAGGCATGGTGTGCCTGGTAGAGCACTTCACAGTACTGCATGGTAGAGCTGAGCTGACATGCAATGTCCTGAACGGGGGACTGCACCTCTAGTTTTGTATTTCAGGGTTAGAAAGAAGCAGCACAGGTGAGTGCATTTCAAACCACAAAAAAAGTCAAATTTAAAAGCTCCAATTGACATCACAGAATAGAAATTTCCAGGTATTCACAGCGCCATATTCTGTGATTCAGAACAAGGCAACAAAACTCCAGGTGAGGTGAAGCGGCCCTATTACACTGTAATAATAATAATAATAATAATAATAATAATAATAATGTTTCTTTATTAGCCCTATACAATTTCTTGCATTAGGAATTTGTCTTTTCGCAGACCCCAGCTTTTCTCCAAGGAGACACAGACACACAGACAGGGAGAAGCTTGGGGTCAGAGCGCAGGGTCTGCCATTGTACGGCGCCCCTGGAGCAGTTGGGGTTAAGGGCCTTGCTCAGGCTTGTGAGTCCATCTCTTCTCATCCAGTAGAAATATTGCTCTTGACTCTGAGAAGGTTTTGCCCACAAATACTACCTAGTTGTGAACTCTGCACGCAGCTCACATTAGAATGCTGTGTACTTATTCGCTCGTACGCTGCATTATTTTTTGATGATAGTGACAGATTACAGGTCCGTCCCCTAGCGAGATCAGGGGTTTGAGATAATATGACGACCGTTCAGTACTTTCACAGAGTTCACGGTTTTGTGTTTCATTGGGAATTTGTGAAATGTTGTGGTACCCTCATGCAGCCAAAACTCTCTCACGATGTTATTCACTGTTCGTTTTCAATTAGCGCAGGATTCGTGCTGTGAAGAGACTGGGCTTGAAAAAATGACCGGTATGACCACAGAGGAGTGTGCTAGATGATTGAAGTGCAGAATTTACATTCCTCAGCATCTCACCCCAGCCATGCCCACTGCTGTGGATCTTCGTTAGTGTCCTGGGGTTTATATCCAACACAGCTGCAGACGTCATCACTGAACTCAATTTCAGCATATTCTTAACTGAATTTTGTAACTGAACAGGGCACTAAAAGCAGGTTTTATCTGTCCCTGGAGGGCCTAAAACCGAAACATATAAACTGTTCAAGTAATGTAAGATACAGTAGGTTCCTCAACAGCAATCATTTTCAGGTGAGGACTCCATGCTTCTTCAGTATAGGTGGGCTTTGGCGCCCTCTAGTGTTAGTGATTCTGCAATAGCAGCTGACGCTACAGAGCTAATTCAAACACGGACACTGGCGCCTCCTGTCTTTCGGTTCCTGAAATGTAACACCCTGTTTAAATTACAGGCGTGGTATGCGGTGTCTGTGTCCCCTTTTCTGTGAAGACATCTTCATGTGTAATCGCATACATCTGTATGCTCCGGATGCTGATCTTTCTATTGATGCATAATTATATTTCCCATTGGCCCTTACCAATCATGGCCTCCTAATAATCGCCATCTCTGAACTGGCTTCATCCCTCTGTTCTCCTCCCCACTGAGAGCTGATGAGTGCTGAGCCTTCTGGCGCACTCTGGCTGGCATTGCATCATCCAGGTGGGGCTGCACATTCGTGGTCCAGAAAAGTGCTATATAAGCAATTATTATTATTATTCTATCATGTTTCAAGTGATAACAACTATATTTCTAACCTACAAGTTGGAAAATTGAAACCAGGGCCTGTGAACCCCTGGAAGGCCTGTTGTCTTTTAGATTTGCCCTTGGGATCTTAATTGCAAAGTCCTATATAATCCCAATCCTATATAATTATTTAATTGTTTAATTGACTGCTCAGGTTGGAGAAAACAGAGGCATTAAACCAGGGATCTCAGACTCTGCTCCTAGAAAGTACCGTGTCCCCTGCCATCCTGAGCTCTAACTTACACAGTGGGGCTAATTAGTTAATTAACTGCAGAAGTGTAATACTTGTAACTCGGCTCTGAGGTGTTAGATGTACCTTTAATGAAGGGTTTTTTGAGTAATCAGCCGGAGAAGACCTTCAGTGACCTCCTGTGACTGTGTAAGAAAATAATTAGGCTAATTGTTGAATTGACGATTCAGGCTGGGAGTACAAACAGCAGACAGCGGATCAGTGTAATTCAATAACGCACAATAGGAACACTAATAACGAGCTGTGATGTAAATAGCACCATGAGGAGACCAGGAGTTGATGCACTACAAAAGGCTTCAGAAAGACTTGGTAAGCACACAATTACCAA